AATGTGGAAGTATATTATAATACTATAAATTGTCCTGAAGTGGTAATGGTAATTACAAGTGATTTTTTTTTTTTTAAATATGTCTTTATTGATTTCAGAGAGAGGAAGGGAGAGGGAGAGAGAGAGACAGAAACATCAATGATGAGAATCATTGATCGGCTGCCTCCTACACGCCCCTGACTGGGGATCGAGCCTGCAACCCGGGCATGTGCCCCAACCAGGAATTGAACTGTGATCTCCTGAATCCTAGGTCGATGCTCAGCCTCTGAGCCACACCCGGCCGGGCACAAGTGATTTTTTTTTTTTTAAGTGGTTTATAAAACAAAGGTAAAACAGGCCTGGCTGCACCTAAATAATCACAGAATATTATTTTTCTATTACTGCTTTTTTTTTTCCTTTTTTTTTTAATTTGTTGATAAGAGGGAAAGAGAGAGAGAAACATCGATTTGTTGTTCCACTTACTTATGCATTCATTGCTGTATTCTGTATGTGCCCTCACTGGGGATTGACCCACAAGCTTGGCATATTGGGACAATGCTCTAACCAACTGAGATACTGGGCCAGGGTCTCTATTACTGTTTCTTGAAAATAACACCACACTTCAAATTTTTCTGAAAAAGTTAAGACCCATTTTTTAAATGGCCAGAACAGTGAAACTTTTCACGTGCTCCCAGTCCAGCCTGTACAACCCACTATGTAGTTTGCTGTTCAACCAAATATTTCCAAATTATATTATTTTGTACAAGCCCAGCTAAACCTTATTTTCACTTTGAAGGCTTGTTGAGGTCAGTGATGTTTTCTTTAGTGCATTGTTCAGTGGTGAAATAGAGTTGCAACTTGTTCTGACACTTCATGAAATAATGTTAAATGAATTATTTAGTGTTAAGTAAAGAAACCTGCTAAATTATTTTAAACTATTCAAGGTTAGTTAAAGTATTTTAAGGTTTAATTCTTTAAAAATATGTCATATTTTCAGTCCATAGATTAACCTTTTGAGTTTGAATCATAAGATATCCTCTTTTAATTAAAACAAATGTATAATGTATAGTAAAAAGGTTAAATTTTTATATGAGCTCTTTATTTTTCAAAAGTTAATTCAGTGTATTTCTTTATATACTTTAAAGATTAATAAATACTTTGAGGATAAAAATGGCATGACACTCTGGATGATGGCATTGGCTTTTAAAACGGTTGCATTAGAATTGAAAGTATGCCACATGAACCTGAAGTCAGGATGCAGTGGCTGCAGGTAAATTCAACTGTAAGAGTATGACAAGAATAAGCTGCCATTTATAAAGACACACCTAAACATACAGAAACCCTGAGGAATTTTCAAATTGTGAAGTAATGGGAACAATCATTTAATGTGGAAGGAAGGAGCTAGTTAGTATATGCCTCCCTCTTTAAATATCTCATAATATTAAATTGTGGAGTGAGATGATTGAAACAGGGAAGATGATTTAGTGGCAGCATAACAGATAGACTACCATTTAGAGAGGCCACACCTGAGAACTGATTGCATTAGGGGATAGGGCTAAGGTTAGAACACAAAGTGGTGTTCAGGAAAAGGCTGCCACTTAGCTATATATGTTTTTCAAATGTTTTTTCTTAAGGAGTTATAGATGTTAGTTCTAACACTTCTTAAACATTCCTTTATGTTTCCACTTTTTTCTCTCTAGAGGTTTCTCTTAGTCACTTTGAGACATCCTATCAGCTTAGAGGAGTTATTTTCACCCAGTCTTCTTGCCTGACATCTTATAAGCATGAGTAGTCCTGGTGCAGCTTACCCTCAAGTGCACACACACCTTAGCATCAATTTTTATCTCATGGCAGCATGCAATCAGCTGTCATCATACCACTGCCCTCTCTCTTCAGTACTGCAATTAATTGGTTATAGATAAGCATTTGTTTAATGTTCGTCTTCCACTAGAACAAATCTTTTCTTCACTTCAGCATTCCCAACCTCTAACCCAGTACCTGGCAGAGATAGGCACCCAGGAAACACCTGTTGGATCATTGCCAGCAGGAGGCTTCTTCTAAAATCTGGTAATGCCACAGCTGCAGCCTGATGCAGATGTGGGAGATAAGCAGGGACTAGATCCCAGAGGAACATCAAGTCATGTGAAGAAGCTTGTTTCATCTGAGAACAATTAAGAGGCCATTGAAGGATTGTAAGTCCAAGTCTACCTTAGAGTGGACATCTCCCTTCTAGACCTCTGGCTTTCCTCTGGGATCATAGAAAGTGTATTTGTCACATGAAAAGCAAAGTTACATTTGACCTATGGTTATATATACAGTAAGTTTTTATCGACATTTGCAGACTTCTACTTTATAAAATAATCATTTTATGTATTTAAAGGATAGGTATGGATTTATAAATAGAAGAGTTAAAATATTTATATTTCAATGCAGAAATGACTATATGAATTTGGGTTTGTAGTAAAAACAAAACCTATAGTAGATTTCAAATTTAAAAAGCAATTGGTAGATATCTAATATCTTCTGAGTAATTTGATAAACCTAAGACTAGGCAGAAGCAAATCAATAATAACCTTCATCCAAGGAATTAAGTAATAAGAATTTTATAAAAGCTGCAAGTTGTGCTTTTGAAGGAATTTTAAATGAAAATTATTTTCAGTTCTTATTCTATTGAACTAAAGAATTTAAAGTCTCTTGCCCAGCCGGGTGTGGCTCAGCCGTTGAGCATCGACCTAGGATCCAGGCGATTGGGGTTTGATTCCCGGTCAGGGCACATGCCCAGGTTTCGGGCTGCAGCTGATCAATGACTCTCTCATCATTGATGTTTCTATCTCTCTCTCCCTCTCCTTTCCTCTCTCTGAAATCAATAAAGATATATTTAAAAAAAAAAAAAAATTAAAGTCCCACTCAACTAAAATAATATATGATGTTAAACATGTATTTTATTTATTTATTTATTTATTTATTTATTTATTTATTTATTTATTTGGCTTAAGCAACAGAAATTTATTTTCTCACAGTTCTGGATCCAAGATTAGGGTGTCTGCAGGATTGATTCCTTTTGAGGGCCGTGAGGAAAGAATCTGTTCTAGGCCTGTCTCCTTGTCTTGTGGATAGTCATTCTCTCTGTGTCTTCACATCGTCTTTCCTCTGTACATGTCAGTGTCCAAATTTCCTCTCCTCTTCTGCCATCTTGGATCTTGGGACATTCATTGCTTTTATTTTTATTTGTTTAAAGAATATGTCTTTATTGATTTTTTGAAGAGAGAAGGAGGGAGAGGGACAGAGAGATAGAAACATCAGTGAGAAAGAAACATGGATCAGCTGCCTCCTGCATGCCCCCTACTGGGGTTTGAGCCCGAAACCCAGGCATGTGCTCTGACCTCCTGGTTCCTAGGTCAACTCAACTGCTGAGCCACACTGAACATGCATTGCTTTTAAGGGACCAACATTTTTATAGTTTTAAGCTAACCTTTCAAGAACTGATTTTTTTTCTTTAAGAAAGTAAAGTTCCTTTTCTGAGTATAAATGTAATAGATGCTTATTGGTGAAAATTTAGAAAACATATAGAAATCTTAAAATGCATTTATTCTAATCTCTTCCTTCCCAACTTTCATGTTAGTATCATTTTCTTTTTTTAAAAAAATCACCTTCTGCCTTGGGTGGCGTTGCTGAGTGGTTAGAGCATCAGCCGAGCACGGAAGGGTCATGGGTTCGATTTTGAGTCAAGGACACGTACCTGGGTTGCAGGTTCTATCCTGGCCTGGTTAAGGCTTGTGCAGGAGGCAACCAATTGATGTGTCTCTCACATCAGTGTTTTTCTCTCTCCCCCTCCCTCCCTTCCACTCTCTAAAATCCATGGAAAAATATCCTCAAGTGAGGATTAATAAAAACAAACAAACAAATAAAAAAACACCTACTTTTTTGGTATTTATTGAGTAGTCAATTTTTGACATGATTCACCATTTCTTTGCTCTGACCATTGCATCCCACTCGTTTCTTTTGGGTTCATTTTCCTTACTAAAAGAAATCCTTGAGTAATTCTCTCAGTGAGGATCTATTAGTGATAGACTTCTTTTTTGTCCACAAATACTTTTTATTTCATTCTTACTCTTCAATTATAATTTAGCTAAATATGTTTGACAATTTTTTTCTTATACTACTTTATATATATTCTTGTATTCTGATATCTTACTGATGAGAAATCTAAAGGTACAATGATACATTTTGTTGTTGTTTTTTAAACATAGTCACCTTGGAAAACTGTACTTTTCCCCCTTAAAACATTTTTTAGATTTACTGTGCTAATACACCAAATGAATTAATGTAATTTTAAAAATAAGAAGTAAATGGTAAAGTGGGAGTCATGAAATTCCAAAACAAAATCACCTAAGATTGCTACTTGAATATATATAGTGGTTAAGTGTTAAGTTTTGTAATATGCTGTATAGTGACATATGTTTATTTTTGGCTTGTTTTCAAAAGTGATATTTTGAGTTATATTTTAATTTAGATGGACTCCTACAATAGACCAGTGCTGTCCTATAGAAATTACTTTGATGACGGAAATGTTCTATATCTGCACTGTCTAATAAAGTAGCCACTAGACCCTGAGTGGTGCAATGTATTTATTATCTCTTTATCTCTTACCGAGTGAATAGAAGTTTTGAAATAATAACTTGATTAGTTTTAGGCCATATCATTTAAGGTAATTCATTTTTACATGATATTTTCCCCCAGAAATTTAAAGGTGATTAGCTTCTTTGTTTTAGTAAAGGTTTGACTATACAGTATAGGATTAGAAAAAAGCATATGAGATTGTATATTTAGCTTACGGTTTGGTTTCTACATTATAGTCATATATTCAGTGTGTTTTGAAGTACTACATTAAGGTTGGTAGATCTTCTGAGATTACTTTTTATAAAGTGTTAGTTCTTGAGTAAGAAGAATTCTAGGAATAACTCTTCAGGTTTCACTGTAATAAACAAGTGAATTTGTTAATAGTGCCTTCCGTTTTTCAGATTGCAGATAGAAGAATCTTCTAAACCTGTACGGCTATCACAACAACTGGACAAAGTTGTGACAACCAATTACAAACCTGTTGCCAATCATCAATACAATGTAAGTCTGTCTTTCTTCATTATGTTATATCTTTATTCTTTTCTATATCATAGACCTTGCTATCAGGTGCTTGAGTTATCCAGACTTAGTAAGGCATATGACAGTTTGTTAAGCTTAGAAATGATGTTCACTCTGTATCCTCAGTTATACTGTTTAAACTCCTCTTGATAAGTTTTTCAAAGAAATAAAACACTTTATTTTTCAATGTTTCCAATGTTTTAAATAATGGTGTCCTTAATAAATAATAGTTTTACTTTTTTTCATTTTTATGTACCTTTATAACAGAGTTTTTAACATTTTGACCAAAAATTTAAAGGTCACAAAGCAATGGTAATTTTTCTCATTGATTATTAAGATTGCTTTGCATAGTTTCAGCTTTTACAGGCATTTTTTTTTTTTTAATATACCTTTATTCATTTCAGAGAGAGGAAGGGAGAGGGAGAGATAGAAACATCAATGATGAGAGAGTCATTGCCTGCCTGCCTCCTGCACGCACCCCACTGGAGATCAAGCCTGCAACCTGGGCATGTGCCCTGACCTGGCATTGAACCCTGATCTCCTGGATCCTAGGTCGATGCTCAACCACTGAGCCATGCCCAGCCGGGCTCACAGGCATTTTTACAGTCTCACACTACCATGTACAGTGAGGACTGCCTAATGTTTTTTAAACCTTTTTTATTGAAGCATATCATATATATGATATGTATTTTTTTTATAATGTACAGTACACACATATATTGTATACATATGTATACTTTGTGCCAGGCACTGTTCTGAGTGTCTCATAAATAGTGACACATTACCCTGTGAAGTAACTACTGGTATTATCATTTTATAGATGAAGTTACTGAGACACACAGAGGTTAGCTTACTTGAGGACACACAGCTGGTAATTAATCAGTCCAGCTGTTGAACCCTAGCCTGTTATAGGAGCCTTACTCTCAATTAACCAGCATGCTGTGTTGCTGCAGGTTATTAGCAATGCTAACAGAGCTAAGGGTTTTGGGTCTTGAAGTACCTGTAATGTAAGGAAAAATGTTATGATTCTCTGAAAATAAAATGAAGCCTAAGTTAAATCAAATAGCAATGAACAGTTGATATCTTGTGTCCTACTTTGTTGCTTAAGATCTTCTTAATACTAAGTTTAGGAAATAATAAACTTCTTAAGAGTGGCCCGAACCACTACTTTATTTTTTTCTTTTGTTTTTATTTTTCTTTATTATTTATTTAGTTTTTGAACCACTACTTTATGATAGTTGAATTTCTTTCTTTTTTTCTTTTTAAAATATATCTTTATTGATTTCAGAGAGAGGAAGGGAGAGGGGGAGAGAGATAGAAACATCAATGATGAGAGAGTCATTGATCGGCTGCCTCCTCTATGCCCCCCACTGGGGGTCGAGCCTGAAGCCCAGGCATGTGCCCTGACTGGGAGTCGAATCACGATCTCCTGGATCATAGGTCAATACTCAACCACTGAGCTATGCTGGCCGGGCGATAGTTGAATTTCTTACAGTTATTTTATATGAGGGGTGGCAAATGCCTGCAGGGCCAGGTAAGCATCCTCAGTGAGCAGAATGCTGAAATTTAAGAAGGTAAAATCTTAGGGACTGTGATGAACTGGAGTGTACATGCCCCTTCTAAACACATTCAAATTTTAAAAATTGCTACACTGTGTAGATTAAATAAAGCAAATCAAAGTTCAATTGTGTCCAGCCAAACTTTAATTTTATAGCCTCTGGTTATGCTTTAGGAGAGATGTAAACTAAAGAAAAGGAGAGGCAAAGATAAGTGGAGACAGAACTGTCAGATTATCCAAGAGATGTATTTTTCTGTTATCTCTTGATTGAGACAAGTAGATAAAAATCTACTTTTTTGTCCTCTCATCTTTTCTACTCTTCAGTGTGAATACATGCAATTTTCTGAAGCCAAGTGAACATAGAGAAGTGTAAAATATTATAGGTCTTAATTGTCTTTACCTTTCTTTGTTAGTGTGCTTCTCCTGTGGCCCCTGACTGTGCTTTTTTTTCCATTTATGGGCCAACCTTCTATATACAGTTTCCACTCCTGTATGTTTTTATCACAGTGAGGACAATAAAGACCTTACTTTCCATAAGCTATAAAGAGAGAGAACCTTTCAGAAAAGAAGTTTAGTAAGAAAGACAAGTACCCAAAGATGGATATGCAAAAGTATTTATTTCTATTTAAGATAGGAAAAGGTTGGAAACAAATGTTCAAAAATGAAGATTTGTTAAATACTTTAACAGTCATTATTTTTGCATGATAGGACTAGACCGTTTTTATCCTAATTTTCTTCTTTATAAAATGTTTTGAATTGACACAGTGAATATACACTGTTTGAATTGTTACAGTGGGCAGTAAAGCTTTTCTGTTGGATGGTGTTACTGGTGAGATGACAAGACCTTGGTTCTTGTTTTCTTGAAGGAAAGATTTCAATCAAGAGACAAAGTGTAGCAAAGCAAGCAAGAATTTACTGACCACAGCAGAATACACTCAGGACAGTGAAACAAGGAAGGGCTTAGAAGAAGCAACAAGGAGAGCCTAGGCTGGGTCAGAAAAGGGGCCTTGGAGACAGGTTCAGGGGGTTAGCCCAGAAGGAGCTGCCCCTGCCCATTGCTCTCTTGGTTGCCAGCCATGTCGGGTCCCTTAGAGGGAAAGAGGAGAAGAGAATGTCACAGGCTTGCTCTCCAGAGGGTACGCTGGGTTCTTTGCGTGAAAGTATTCCTCCCTCTCC